TGGGATAAAGGGGATTTGAGGCTCTGGTTATCTGTGGAGACCCCAAAAGGTCCCTGTGCTCATCCTGTCCCTTGGGCAGGTGGGGAATGAGGGCTGCCAAGGGGGGATGGAAAGTGGGGTTTGGGAGAGGGATGGGATTGGGGTTTGGGGTGGGAATTGGAGTGGGGTTTGGGAGAGGGATGGAGAATGGGGATTAAAGTGGGAATGGAGGTTAGGGACCAGGGTGGGGATGAGAGTGAGGTTTGGGGTGAGAATAGCAGTGGGGTTTGGGATGGGGACGAGATTGGGGTTTGGGATGGGGATGGGATTGAGGTTTGGGGTGGGAATTGGAGTGGGGTTGGGAATGGGGATGGAGAGTGGGAATGAGGGTGGTGATGGCATTGAGGTTTGGGATGGGGATGGAGAACGAGTATTGAGGTGAGGATGGAGGTTATGGACCAGGGTGGGAATGGGAGTGAGGTTTGGGGTGAGAATTGCAATGGGGTTTGGGATGGAGATGAGATTGGGCTTTGGGAATGGGATGGAAGGTGCAATCAGAGCGAGGACAGAGCCGGACTGTCTTTCCCCCCTCACCCCCTTGTCCCCCACCTTGTCGCAGGGTGGTGACAGACGAGTGCTACCCTTTCACGAGCCAGCAGAGCCCTCCGGCCGCTCCGCCCTGCATGATGCACAGCCGCTCCACGGGCCGCGGCAAGCGACAGGCGACAGCGCGCTGCCCCAACCCCCGGACCCACTCCAACGAGATCTACCAGTCCACCCCCGCCTACCGCCTCTCCTCCAGCGTGAGTGCCGGGGCCGCCACGGAGCGGGACGGGGCTCGGCCCGGGGTGCTTCACCTGGGAAAGCCAAATTTGGGAATGCGGTTGGGAAAATCCCGCTGYKGARCCCGCGGGGAGCGGCTCCTCCACCCGGTTGTGGGTGCTGGAGAAGCTCCGCCTGCACCCCGGGGCCCGGGGAGGGCAGAGCAGGTGGTCCCGRCCTCGGTGTCACCCTGTGTCACCCKGTGTCACCCTGTGTCACCCGGTGTCACCCAATTCTGTGATTGCAGGAGAAGGAGATCATGAAGGAGCTGATGGAGAACGGCCCCGTGCAAGGTAAGGGGCTGGCGGGGGCGCCCCTCTGTGCACCCCAAAACACTKTGGGGTTAAAAACCGCTCTGCCCCATCTGGGGGAACCGCCGTGGGAGCCGGAACCCCCCTCAGCGTCTCCCCTTTCTCTGCCCCAGCGCCCGTCACGCTGCCCACCCCAGCGGGCACCGGGTTGCTCATTAACTCCTGAGATTTAATCACCGTCTTGGCAGCCGCGTTTGTTTAACTTMGTTTTATTTTTTTAATTTTTTTTTTTTTTAAAAAAAACCTCCTCTGAGTGTTGTTGCATCGCCCCGGGGAGATCCGGCCGCCTCCTCCCCTCCTTGCTGGGAATGCGGTGCCCCCCTCCCCGCTGTGCCCGCATTCCCCACCCTGAGGGGACAGCGGCGGTGTCCCCAAACCCTCTGTCCCCTCCCCGCAGCCATCCTGGAGGTGCACGAGGATTTCTTCATGTACAAGAGCGGGATCTACCGGCACACGCCCGTGGCCGAGGGGAAGGGGCCGAAACACCAGAGACACGGCACCCACTCGGTCAAAATCACCGGGTAGGTGCCAGGGTGGCCTGGGGGGCTCCGAGAGTGGGACAAATGTTCCCTTTGGATGTCCCCAAGCTGGGAAAAGAAGCGGGGAGGGAAATGGTGGCACGAGCGACAGGAGCGCGGTGCTCAGAGCCCTGGATGGAGCAGGGGGGCGGTCGGAGGTGCAGACCCCGAGCCCGGCCGCTCCTGGACCGCGGTTTCCTTCCTCTGCCGCGGCTAAATATTCCTGTCCTAATTCCGGGAGCGGATGTCAAAACCTCGGCCGGGCTCTGGGGAGGAAATGAGCGGGGTCAGCGCCCCCTCATCCCCACCGCGGTGCTGGGGAGGGGGGATCCCGCAGCCTGGAGACCCCTCCTCACTGCGCTGTCCCGCTGCAGGTGGGGAGAGGAGCAGCTTCCCGATGGCCAGACCCAAAAATACTGGGTGAGTGTTGCGGGGATGAGTTTTGGGGAGGGGGTCATCTGCTTCCCCGCGGTCCGGTTTGGGGGTCACCGGGCTGAGCGTGTCCCCGTGTCCCCTCTGCAGACGGCGGCCAACTCGTGGGGCACGGCGTGGGGCGAGGGCGGCCAYTTCCGCATCGCCCGCGGCGTCAACGAGTGCGAGGTGGAGACCTTCGTGGTGGGGGTCTGGGGTCGCGTCAGCATGGAGGACATGCCCCACAAGTGAGCCCCCCGCTGTCCCCGATGTCCCYGTCCCCAGCGCGGCATCCCCACGGGCGGGGGGTTGGCGCTGTCCCCTGAGCTGTCCCCAAGCCGGGGGCTGCGCTGTCYCCGCCGTGCTGACACAGCGGCCGGGTGCAGTGGGGCGTGAGTGGGGGGCTGCTCGCGTCTCCCATGGGATTTACCCGCTAATCCCCCCGCCCCGGGCTCGGCTGGGCTGCGGTGGCGGCGGGGGGCTCTTCAAAGGCAGCTGCACCCCCTCCCATCCCGGCTGGCGCTGCGGGGTCGCCCCCTCCCCCCATTTTCCCGACCGATGCGGCTGGGGACAGACCCCATCCCCTCCCCCCAGCAGCGCAGCCCTGGAGCTGTGGGGTGGGGAAGGGTCCCCTGAGCCCCCCAGGGCTGGGTGTCGCCAGGATGGGGTCCCCACCGTCCCCCCATTTATGGTGCTATGGCCCTGCCACCCCCTTGGGGACAGCAGGGACAAGGGAAGGCTCAGCCCCGCGGTGTCCCCGTCCTGGTGGGGACACGAGTGGGGTCCGCGCAGCAGCCCAGCTCGGGACCCCCCCTCTCCCTCCCCCTAAACCAACCCAAGGGCTGAACTTTTAAGACTTTTTTGTATTTATTTTGCTTTTTATTGTTTGTAAATAAAGTTATGGAAGGCTCAGAGCCGCGCGGGTGGATTCAATGATCCGGGGGGGGGACAAGTGGCCTCTGTCACCCCCGTCCGGGGGGCCCAGGGTGGCCTCGGGAAGGGCTGGGGGGGTGAGATAAGGCCCCGCTCATTGTCCGCCTTCCGGCAGCGCCGGTGACCGCGGCCAGCGCTGGCCACGCCGCGGGCACGCGCAGCCACTCGGGCCACCGCGGCCATCTCTGCGGCCAGAGGGGGTCACTGTCACCAGCTGTGCCACCGCGGCCAGGAGGGTGTCACCATGGCCAGGGGGTCACCACGGCCAGGGGAGGACACCAGCTGTGCCACCGCGGTCAAGTGGTCACTGTGACCAGCTGTGCCACCGCGGCGAGCAGGGGGTCACCGCGGCCAGCTGTGTCACTGCGGCCAGGAGGGTGTCACCATGGCCAGGGGGGGGTCACTGTGACCAGCTGTGTCACCGCGGCCAGGGGGATGTCACCATGGCCAGGGGGTCACCACGGCCAGGGGAGGACACCAGCTGTGCCACCGCGGTCAAGTGGTCACTGTGACCAGCTGTGCCACCGCACCCAGGTGTGACACCGCGGCCAGCTGTGACACAGAGATCGGGCGGGGGTCACTGTCACCAGCTGTGCCACTGCGGTCAGGGGGTCACTGTCACCAGCTGTGCCACATAGCGGCCAGGGTGGGGCCACTATGACCAGCTGTGCCACCATGGCCAGGGGGGTGTCACCGCAGCCGGCTGTGCCACCGCATCTAGGGGGGGTCACTGTGACCAACTGTGTCACCACGGCTGGGGGTGGTCRTTGTGACCAGTTGTGTCACCGCGTCTAGGCGGGGTCACCACGGCTATCTGTGCCACCGCGGTCAGAGGGAGTCACTGTCACCAGCTGTGCCACCGCGGCCAGGAGGAGTCACCGCCGTCAGGGGGATGTCACCGCACTCAGCTGTGCCACCGTGGCGAGCAGGGAGTCACTGTGACCAGCAGTGCCACCTCACCCAGCTGTGCCACCTCACCCAGCTGTGTCACCTCACCCAGATGTGCCACCTCACCCAGCTGTGTCACCGCACCCAGCTGTGCCACCTCACCCAGATGTGCCACCTCACCCAGATGTGCCACCTCACCCAGATGTGCCACCTCACCCAACTGTGTCACCTCACCCAAGTGTGGCACCTCATCCGCGCAGCTGAGGGTGCCACCGCGGCCCTATGTGCCACCGCGAGTGCCACCCCAATGACATGTGCCACCGCATCCAGGCATGCCACCACAGCCCCCGTGTCCCCGCGCCGGCCCGGGGTGGCGCTGGGGCTGTTGTCGCCTTTTCCAAATGACACCATTCCTGG